GGTGTCCGGTAGCGCAGTACCACGCTGGAGGACTCGTCGATGCTGGTGGGGATGGGGTCGATGGAGGCTTTCACATCAATCACCGTAATCCCTTCCCGGAAGACTCTGGCTTTGCCTCCGATGCTCTGAATACAGCCCATGGCACACAGGACCGCTCTAATCTCCAGGGAAGGCCAGCAGTCCCAAAAATAACAGGGCATTGAAAGGATGGAGGTTGCAGAACCCAGTGTAGAGTGCGCAATCTAATCTCAAAGCTCAAAAGCAAGATCCATAGGATAGAGAACTTACTGAGTCGAGGGGGCTTGCATAGCACTACCGGGCCCGCTTATAAATACGGATTCTGCTGCATCTCAAGAGCCCTAGGCTCCCTTCTCTAGCAGTGGGCAAAAGCCACCGATATTCTTTGGGTTTAAAAAAAGAAAAGTTTGCAGTTTAATGGATAAGCATGTTGTTCTGACATCCAGCCCTTCGTCCTCACACTTGGGGATGGTAGCTCAGACGCTCTCCCTGAAGTCTTCGGAGGAAGCAGACGAGCGCTGGCAGGCACATAAATAAGGAAGGCTCGGTCCCCGCGCGGTCGCGCCACCCTCGCTGCACAACGCCGACTTCCTGCCCTCTGCCTTCCGCACCCGCTCCCCGGGACACACGCGCCCTCCCGGCGGGGCCCAATCAATTGCAAGCGTGAGCTCTCGTTCAAACGGCAGAGGTCTGGCGCCCTGCGTGGCCGGCACCCACGCGCGGTTCCAAGAGGCGCGCTTCGGGCTAGGCGCTCCCCAGGTCTCCTCCGGCGCCCACTTGCGCGCTCCTTTGCCACTGTCGCTGTCGCCGCCGACTGCCGCGTGGGGCCCCGGGGCTGCGCTTGGGTATCCGCCGCCGCCTGCTTCGCCGCGGCCGCCGAGGACCTGCAGAGAGGTGGAAGGGACAGGGCGTCAAAGTTGAGCCGAACTTTACTGCGGGGGACGCGAGGGCGCGGCGATGCGTGTGCGCCGGGCGCGGGCTGCGGAGCTGACGGCGCAGCTCTGGGCGGTCTCCCCGGAGGTGGCGCCCCCCCTCCGCCCGCCCCGTCAGTGGCGGCCGCACGACTGCGCGCACCAGCGAATAATCGCCTCCCGTGACATCTCCGCTGACACCCCTCCAGCCCGGGGGCGGGGCGGGGGGTCGGCCAGACTGACACCGCAGTGGGTCACTAGGACCTCCCTGCCCTGGTGCTGCGCTTCATCACCAAGCCACCAGCATGGAACGCCCCTTCTCTCTTGGGTCTCTCGGTCCCCCGGGGCCGCAGTGACATCCCCAAGCCGGTCCTTTCTGGCGTGAGGCCCTTAGCCGGCTGAGGTGGCTCGACCCCAAGAGGGCGCCTGTCCCCTCACCGCCCCCCTCCCCCGCGCACCCCGTGCCTCGGTTTCCTCTCGCCAGCCGCTAGCCGCAGCGGAGCACAGCGCGTCGGGGGAGCGCGCCTCAGCCGGGGAACTTTGGCACTCTCCTTCCCACCCAGGGGGAGTCGCGAACTCACCTGCCCCTAGGGCCGCTCCGGGTGCCTGGGTCACTGCCCTCCGGACGCCCCTGGCCCCTCCGCCCACACGTTCTCGGGGCGCCCCCTTCCCCTGGGTAATGTCCCGTGGCTCTATTAGGGTCTGGGGATGGCGTGGGCGCCCCGGGTCCCCAAGCCCTTCCTGGCTCCGGGCTGCTGTGGGGATGACCGGGGGCGGAGGGCTGAGGCTCGGGGCTCTCTCGCCCCCACCCCCGAGCGCCTCCTTATTTTATGATCATTGTGAGCGTGCTGTCCCCGCCGCCGCGCCGCAGCCGCCTGGCGCGCCCAGCGCCGCCTCGCTATGCTGCAGCATCGGAAAGGCAACCAGGTCAAACTTTGCAGAAACTCGGCCCCTGCGCCGGCCTGGCCCCCGCGTTCGCCCGCAGCCGAGCGGCAGCGCGCACCGGCGCACGCAGGACCGCCGCTCGCTCGTGCGCCCCGCGGGATGCAGGTCCGCAGGCAGCGGCCGGCGGGCGGGCGCCGCCTCCTCCTCCTGCCCGTCCGGCTCTCCACCCTCGCTCCCGCACTCAACGCGCCCTCCCCCCTGGTTATCCCTCTATCCCTCTTTCCCCCCTCTCTGCAGCTGCTGGGGGAGTTGAGCCTCTTCTTGCATAAACGACATTTCCTTCTTTGCTAACCCTAGGAATTCTGGGTAGTGTAGTTTTGCGTCTCTAGTCCTGGGGTTGGGGGAGCACCTATGGCCCTTTGACTTCTGACGCCAGCGGGTTTCCTGTTCAGGAGACCTGGGCCACTGCCCTGGGAATCCTGTCTCCGGGGTTGGTGGTTCGGTGGAGACTGGGGAGGCTTTGGGAGGCTCCAAGGCTGGGAAGGTTTGGTGGACGGGAGAAGTTAGTCCCCCAGTGTTGGTCCTTTGCCTCCGTGGGATGGTCAGACAATATTGAGTCCGTTGGCCCCAAGTGGGTGACAAGTTTACATTCATCAGATACTCTGAGTGGGAAGTATCTCTCATCTCACAGAGAAAAAAAAATATCCAGAATGGGAAGACTGAGAAGATGGGCCTACACCCCAAACTGGCAGATTTCCCCACTGAGGCCATCTCAGAGCTAAGGTTCAAAAGGAGTTTATGCCCAGACTGCATTGGGAGAGCAAGAACCTAAGCAGCCCCAGGCCTTAGCGCCACCCTTATCCTGCAATTACCTTCTAGATAAAGGACAGTTTGTGACATCAGAAAACCTGGCAGCCACACTAAAGCCACGCCCACCACCGCCACAGCCCCTTAACTCTGACTTTCAAGGCTGTCCAGAGTAGACACAGGGTGGGCGCTTGTAGTCAATCCCAAGGCTAGAGTCTGCTGAGTATATGGGGCATTTCTGAAACCTTGGGAAGGTCTCAGTGAGGGATCCATCTCACACCTGCTCAGCCACAGCAGGAAATGGTCAGTTGAGGCGGCTGCTGCCTTTGCCCAGCCACACTCTCAGCCTGACCCATGTCCCCAGCTAGTGGGGCAAGGTCCTTTTCCCAATCCAACTTTCAGGCAACTGGTCTACCCAGTTCTGACTGATGTAAAACCACAACAGCACATGGGCCTCACGTAAAGTTTGCAGTCTTTCCTGGCATAGGAAATCACAGTGACCTCCCCAGAGTCCACACTACATTCCGTTCTTCTGGGAACCCCTACAGCCAGCAACACCTCATGCCATTAGATAATTAGTATGCCACTCCATTTATACAGAAGGACGCCATTAAATTTTGGGGTGCCAACTCACTTTCCATCACTCCAAATACCTGGAATCCCAGTTACCAAGGTGCTTCCATGAAAGCGTAAGATGCTCCCTCAAAAACAAGACACCATGTTCCAGGCTGCTCCCGGTGTGTGTGTGTGTGTGTGTGTGTGTGTGTGTGTGTGTGTGTGTGTGTGTGTAGTCTATATTTCTTAGGGAAAAGATGCCACAGGCTACATTGCCCAGCTGCACAGGGAAACCACTGGAGGTGGTTTCTTGGGGGAGGGGTTCCCCTGAAAACCACTGGAAATGGGAGTTACTTTTGAGCTCTACAGTACTACAAGTACTCCACAAGTTCAGGTACCCCAGCCTGACCTTGTGTTGGTGAAAGGATACTATAGAACGCACTGTGTCACACCAGCATCATCGTTATGGTTCACCTTGACGTGGAGGGTGAAAACAAGAAACCAAGAGACCGTGAAATCTGGCTTCTGGCCCCAGTCTCACCCCACTCAAGGCCCACACACTTACCTACTAAGACTGCTTCCTGAACTAAGATGGACTGGCCACCAGAGCAGGCCACAGGTGCTTGGGTGTCACAGGTAAGGATTTGTGTGGCAGAATGCGGCCTCCCTTCACTGGCTCCCTTACCACATCGCCCCCTGTGAAGGACTTCACCTTAACCTGCAGAGGGTCGCCCAGGCTTAGAAGTTGCCAGGCCACAGCTGAGGGGTAGCTCCTGCAGGGGTAGCCAGGACAGACAGAGGGGTCTGAATGGACTTAGCTCACTTTTAAATTCCCTGGCCCAGCTCCTGATCTGCCTGCTTGTACACTCTTGGGCCCCCTGCCTCCTCCACCTCCCCACAGGGGTCCCCTGGCCCAGCTCTGCCTGCTTGTACACTCTTGGGCCCCTGCCTCCTCCACCTCCCCACACAGGCCCTTCTACTTGCATGGCTTTCTTGGGAGGTTTGTGAGTGTTGGACACAAACCTATATCAGCCTCAGCATGTGTGGAGGAGGGTCAGGACGTGACCGTGAGAGTGTAAGATGCTGATGTCTGTGGAGCAGAGAAGAGGGACATCTGTAAGAGTGTGTTCTGTACCAATGGACTCACGCTGTCCTCATCCCCTCCCCTTTACCACACCCAGGTCAGGATTGCACAGCCCTGGTACATTGGACTAGGGAGATCATGAAAACCCAAAGATATACGAGTCAGAGACAAAATTAGCATGCAGCCCTGAACAAGCCCCCAGAGACCTATGACATGGCCCCAGCACAGCAGCACCCTACAGAGCAGACTATGAGCTAGGCCTTCCGCATACACTATCTTCATAGCCTTGGCAATGACCCCCAAAGCTAGGCCTTGTCATCCCACTCCACAGATGACACAGGTGCCTGGGGTGAGGGTGAGAGGTGGCAGTTGAACCCAGAGGCCGGGTGATTGGGATAGAGTGGGCCCGCTCACCAGCAGTCACATGCTCAGTGTAGGCATGTTCAGTGGCCACTGTAGGTAGTCACAAAGCTCACTAACTCTTGCGAACCACCTGCATTTAGGGCCACAGCAGATTCACTGAGAGCTCACTACCTCCAAAGGCAAGGTCCTCATGTGTCCAGAAAGGCCATTTTAGAGAGAGGAAGTCATCAAACTGTGGAGGGAAATGTGGAGCACCGGGATTCTGTTGCCCTAGGAAGCAGGGTTCTTGCCCCAACTGTTTAGAACTAGACCGAAAGCCAATGGGGAGGCTTGGAATGACCACCAAGGACAGGTAGGTGGGGCCAGAATCCCTGGCAGGTTGATCAGCATCACCTCTGACTGGAGGGGTTAGCATCAAAAGATAAGGAGAGAGACGTAGGCAAAGCTGGGTGGCCCTGCAGGGAGCAGGCTGGACCTGGCCAGGTGAGAGGGGGCTGGTACCACAGGGAAGTCATCTAGAGAAGGCTCTGTGACTAAATCCCAAGTCTCCTGACCCCAGCCCAGTGGTAACATGGCTCTCCACTGAGGGACAGTGGCCAGGCATAGTGGCCAGCAGGGAGGCAGTAACAAGTGCATAAAACCCACTGTCTGATCTGGTTGTGAACCTGGGAGTGTAGACTATCTTAGCCACATGCTCCAAACCACGTTCTCCCAGGGCGCTGCTGGCTTGAGACCTCTCCACCGGCCTCCCCATCTTTTACCACTGTTCACTGAACGCCTTGCCTGGGTACTCACGCCTCCCCAGACAGCCAGCAGTACGAACATCCCTGTGGGCCAGAAGGATAATGAAGGATAACTCCAGGAGTGAGGAACGAAGGCACGAATTAGCATAAATAATGAATAGTCGTGAGTTGATGCTCACAGTTGCTACAAGAATCAATCTCTATCAGTCAGGAAGTGGACGAGTCAGTTGTTTTGATGTGCAGTTCAGTATGGAGCTAGGAGTGGAGGGAAAATAAATGCACCAAGGCTTGGGGAGTGAGCTGGTGCGTGTGTGTGTGTGTGTGTGTGTGTGTGTGTGTGTGTGTGTGTGTGTAAAAGCGCCCACACGTCGTGCCTGTGTGAGTGTCTTAACGTGTAATGGTGTGCATGAGTCCCTGGTGGTATGACGTGAGTGAAAGTGTATGACAAATGTGAGAACGTGTGCCCATGACAGCTGTGTGTAAGGTGTGTCAGCGTTTGTTCTAGCTGTGTGTCCATGTGTGTTTGTCTGTGGAAGTGTCATGCGCATGTACCCATGTGAGCTGCTGTGGGTGTAGGTGAGCACAGCTGTGGGCGTGGTTGTGATGGAGGAGTGTGTTCGCGTGGGGTGTGTCGCGTGTAACTGTGGGACTGGCCGGTGGGCGGGGGCTGAGCGGAGGTCACTGCTGGCTGGATGCCAGGTGCGCTCACATCCCCGCGCCCCCTGCACTGGGTCCGCAAGGCAGGAGCTTTCTTGCAGCTGAGGCCTCTCAGTGCGCAAGTCTCCCCGGGCCCCGGGATAGGGCCTCCGGCGCCCCGCTGACGCCGCCCTGCCTGGACAGAGCCGCGGCCTGGGGACCCGCTCTGGCCCCAGCCCGGGATGCGCGGGGCCCGCTGTGTGCGAGGGTGGGGGGGGGTGCGCCTCTGGGGGAAGACAGAGGGGGGCGACAGCAGGCTGGGCGCGGCCTCGGATCCGGTGCGGCACTGAGAGTTCTCCAAGGTGCTAAAATAAACCGAACGAAGGATCAGGTTTCCCGACCAAAATAACCCAGCAGCAGCCTTAGAAATGCGAAACGGGAAAGTGATCCCGGGCGCGCGCCAGCGATGGAGGCGGTGATGATAGCTGCTTCCCGCCGTGCTGGGGGTGAGGGGGCTGCTGGCCGGGGAGCGGTCTCCCCTCTAGGCTCCCACCCACCCTCACTTTCTCTTCTGGGGTCTTTACTTCAAAGAGCAACCTCCTGTTGGCCTTTGGTCTGTGATGGCCAGGTCTGCAATTCTTTAGAGCCAAGCTCTGAACTCAGTCTTTCTGTTCAATGTTTCCTGGTGCCTAGTGTGTGCCAGAGCCTGCCTAGCAGCGCATGTGAACAGGCAACAGTCGCAGTACCCAGGGGCTGTCACTTTGCTAGGAGAGCATTAGGAGTAAGTACAGAGGGTGTTAGGAACTGACATAGATTTCAATAAACAAGAACAACAAAACAAAACAAAAAACCTAAAGGCTGTCAGAAGACAGGGAGAGTTTTGAACCCAAGGACACCCCGCTAACTGGCTCACTCAGTGGCCTGGGTAGAGTCCCTTTGCTTCTGGGCTTCAGTGTTCTCCTGGATCTGACTGGGTCAGAGAGCATGTCTGTGCAGGCTCGGACGGATGGCAAGTGACAGGCAGAGTCACTCATACATACAAGTGTTCTGTACATGCTTATGGCAAATGTGCTTTCGCGTATCAGCACTGGGTTCACCCTAAACATCCAAGACAGCAAACTGTAGCAGCTGCCGGAAACGCCTGCTCTTGAGAGAGAGAAGTAGTATGCTCAAATGGTCAGGGACTGTGTTGTGTAACAATCTCCTCCAAGACTGAAAAGTCCCATCTTGCAAGGAAGTGCCTTGAGCAAGAAGGTAAAGAACTCCAAATAGCTTCAGGAAGTCCCCGAAACAGACCAGGTCCACTAGGCCCCTCCCTGCTAGAGTAAGCAATAAAGCTGCGAAGGAGACTTTGAGACCAGACCAGCTGCCTGGGAGAAGCTGAGACCAGCCGAGCCAGCTGCCTGGAAGACTTTCACACCAACTGAGTCACCGAGAAAGACACTCTCCAGCCTGCAGGCAGTGTGCTCCAGGTTCCCAGCTTTGTGAGCTGTCACTCATGCTGGGGTAGGCCTTGGTGATGCAACTGTCTTTTGAGTCATTTCTGCCCCTGAAAGTAACCCCTCACCCACATTCCTGTAAGTAACCCCAATAAAACTCACGGTTCACCAAGTTGGACTTTGGTAGTATCTGTACTTTGGTCTGTTGTGGGTTCCCCGTCTAGGGTGGTAGATGCGTGTGCTGTGTCTCCCCAGGAAAAGCTTTGTTACATGACAACCTCAGTACCTGGGTCAGACACACTTAGCTCCACTCTCCACAGCCCGTAGTGCATGCAGCCGGGCCTGGGGACATGCCAGGGAGGCGACGCCTCAGGGGAGCCAGGCCATCTGTGGGGATGGGGATGGGGCACCTTCCCCTTTGTACTCCCTGTGGCTCCTTGCACAGGGTGGGACTCGGGAAGTGATACATAAAACCACACAGGCAGGGGACACAGATGCTACAGGGCACATGTAGCCAGAAGCACATCTCTGTCACCAGGAACACATGAGACCAGCAGCTTAAGTCTCACCTCTGGCGCTGGGACCTGTGGCCTTCAGATGATGTCAACACTTTGAACAGTGTGTCCCCTAAAGTGGGAGAGAGTGACTGCGTCTGCTCTGTGTCCTTGTGTTTCCTGTGTCCAGACGCAGCAGCAGCTCAGGCTAGCCCACCAATGCAGGGGTGTCACCCCGGCATCTTGTTTTGTTTGCGCTTGTTTGCATCCTGTTCTGGAACACAGGGAATGAGTGTGAGCGTGCTCACCCCACAGTAGTTTTGAAGGCAGTAGTTACAAAATAAAATCCGGAATTATGGAAGGGCTCTAACACAGGTGTTGGCCTCTCTATGTGACAAAATGCCAGACAGTTAGTAAAAAATAATAGGGGGCTGGACAGATGGCTCAGTGGTTAGGAGCCCTAGCTGCTCTTGCAGAGGACCCAGGTTCAATTCCCAGCACCCACATGGCCACTTATAACTGTCTGTAATTCCTGTTCCAGGGGATCTAACACCTTCTTCTGGACTCCACAGGCACCAGGCACACATGTGGTGCACATACATGCATGCAAGGAGACACCCATACACATAAAAAAGAAAAAAAAAATGAAATTGATCGTCATGGAAACATGGTCAAATTTACCTTATTAAGTAAAAAAAGATAAGTCATATTCTAAAAGGCTGTAAAATGTGATTGTATTTTAAATGTGTATTTATACATGCAAATAGATACAATATACACAGATATCATTTGTTTTTTATGTCCTGTTTATTAAAAATAACTGGTTGATATAAAGTGTTACAATAATTGGAAGTGAGACAAGTATCCCTTTCTAAGATGACCACCTATGTTAATGTATTAGTTTTCAAGTGATGGGATTCTAAGTGTCATCTGTAATAATTAAGTTTATTGCAGTAAAGAGTAACATTTTGTCTGCCGGTGGTGGCACACTCCTTCAATCCCAGCACTCGGGAGGCAGAGGCCAGCCTGGTCTACAGAGTGAGTTCCAGGACAGCCAAGGCTTCACAGAGAAATCCTGTCTGGAAAATCAAAATAAATAAATTTCTGATGGCAAGAAAAAAATAGTTATTGGTGATATTTCACTGTCTTTTAAGCAGCTCATCATTTTGAGGGTGTGTGTCCTGTCTCCTCAGCCGAGCTGCAGGAGAGAGCAAAGAAAGCGTTGTCTGAATGACTGAAGGATGCCAAGACTGGAGAAACCGGGCTGTGTCCTGTAGTAGGTGCTGGTGAAGGTGTATGGACTGAGACATGGTACTTGCTTCTCAGACACCTGTGACAATAACCAGGGGTCTCCCAGCAGACGGAGGAGGAGCAAGTCCCAGTGGGTAGGATGGTTTGCCTGTGGCCATCCAGCTGATGTGGCCAAGCCAGGAAGTGAACCCAGAGCTCTTGCTCTCCACGGTCTGTCTTAACCACTGACAGGCCGGAGCTAAATTGTACCTCATGGCCTCCACAGAACTTACTGGACACTCCAGCCAGAATAAAATGCTGACAGAGCCCTGGGTTATTAATAGTCCTGGCTGTCTGGGCTCCTTAGCCCCTGATGAAGCCAGCCCAGGTCATGGCCCCACCCTGGAGGGTAAGGTGACTTTCCTGGCAGAGAATTGATCAAACATTTCCAGGCCCTTGTGGACTGAAGAATCTGAGCCCAAAGGCTTCGGTGTCCCCATACTGGGGACTACTTAGGAGTCTAGGTCTTGGTTCTTTTCAGTTCCAGACTGGATGCTTTCACCTCTCTGAGCCTCAACTTCCATATCTGTACAATGGGATATTCACAGCTGTTTCTTGGGGATGTTGGTTGAGTGGCGTCAGTCAGTTGAAGTAGACTGCCCAAGGTCCACACTTTTAGGCACCTACTTTCAGGACATAGGGCTCACCTGCGCAATGCACATTATATAGGTAAATTTTCACATGTTGTTCCAGTTCCCTGAGGATGGCTTTGGAAGTAGGGTCCCCCATTTCAAACCTAAATATGTTTGTTCCAAAGTTTTCTCCAGGACTCCTTATCTAGAGATGGGTGGTTCCCTGAGCCTGTGCCAGGAGAGGAAGAAAACGGCAAAACAGCTGACAAATAGAAACATGATGCTGGCCAGGCTCGCACACGCCTTCAATCCCCGCACTTGGAGGCAGAGGCAGATGGATCTCTGTGAGTTCAAAACCAGCATGGTCTGCATAGTGAGGCTCTGTCTCCAATGAAAAATAAAATCAGGTCCTTGAGTACAGCTGAAAGGTGAACTTTTGCCAACTGATGTTACTATTATTTATCCAATGAGGTAAAAGTGTCTGCAGTGGGGAAGAATTCACCCATGGAGAGGTCAATGGAAACTCCAGCTGCCTGCCTCAGCTTCCCCAGGCTGGTTCTGCGAGACACTGTTAGGTGTGCGCTTTGATGGTGTCATATGTCTGTGGTTATTAGTTCTTTTATGTGGAAGCCCAAGGGGGTCACTCTTCTCTGCCCAGAACCCACTCTGTCAGGTACATCAACTGACTGCCTGAACGGTGCTTCCCACTCAATTTCTGCTGGATACCCCGAGTACCCAATATGATGATGCACTGTCATCTGTCTGCTTGTCTGTCTGTCATCTATCTATCTATCTATCTACCTATCTATCTATCTATCTATCTATCTATCTATCTATCTATCTTAGTCACTTTCCTGTTGCTGTGATAAAACACCATGACCAAGGCAATTGATAGAAGAGTTTATTTGGGCCTATGGTTCCAGAGGGTCAGAGTCCATAATGGCGTGCTGGCAGCAGCAGAAGCTGAAGGCTCACAACTTGAAGCACAAGCACAAAAAGAGAGTGAAGGAAAAAAGGCATGAGTTTAAATTCTCAGCGCCAGGTGACACACTGCCTCTAAGGCCACCTGGGCCTCTTCAGCGCTGTCATCAGCTGGGCACTCAGTACGCAGATGTCTGAGACTGTGAGGGATACCACGTTCACGCCACTGTCTCTCTTTCTCTGTTATTTGCTGTTTATTCTTTTTCTTTGACTTGCTTTATACTTAATAAACTCACTTACTCAAACCCAAAAGTCTGTCTGTTATTGATCATTCTCCAGACCAGACAGAACCACTTGTTTGGAGTCCAAGGTGAGGGAGCTCATGCCTGTTGCACACCCAAGAGGACGGATGTGATGGCTGTCTCACCCCATGCGTGGTCTGAACTGAACATTCTAGAAGAGGAATAGGTGCCTAGTCTAGCCCAGCTATATGCAACTGGATTTTACAGGTAGAAGCAACAAGGTTCAGAGACGTAACAGGCTGAGTGAGGCCTTGCAGCTGGTACAGGTGGATCCTTGTGTCCCTGCCTGTTAGAGCCCGGGTTGGTCTGCTGTGGCTAGAGCCAATAGGACCTGAGTTGCCCAATTGTCCTTGAGAGTTTCTGGGGTGGCCCTGGGCCTTCATGCACAGGCTCTGTGTCTTGGGCTGAGCTGGACAGGCTGACAGACCATAATCCCAATGTGACGAGCCCCAGATGGTTACTTCTCACTTCCGCCAACCACACTGAGCATCTCCTCCTCAGCAGCCTAGGGCCAGGCAGCCTCAGAAGGGCTGTGGCCTCAAGTTCCAGACACTACCCAGGAAGCTGCAGGAGGCCTCAAGCCCCACGTGCTCAGCAGGGCCTCTCTGGCTGCCCTCTGAGGGACGCTCTGGGATGCACCCCTCTTCTCTCCTTTCCCATGTACCAGCAACTGATGCTTGTCTTTCCTACAGGACCATCTCTGCACCCTCAGCTTCTCACGTGTGCGCTTCCTCCATGAGCCAACCCTCCAGGCTTGGGTCCTGCAGCACCTCCAGACAGCTGTGGTCATTTATGTCCCCTTTGCTTAGTCTGTAGGGAGCCTTGATCTTCTTGAGGGTTGGGGGCAGGTCAGCTCCACTCTGTAGTGTGCCCAACTCCAGCCCAGAGCCAGGAGCTCAGTGGCTATGTGTGGGTACTTACGTCGCTTGTTCAGTTCCAAGTACCAGGGGCAACCCCCAAAGAGGCAGATCTCTTCCCAATTAATTACCCATCTCTCTAATGGAACGCCAGTTTTACAAACAACCATTTGATTGCACCATGGTTCATTATAGCAAACAACACTGTGTTTTAATAGGAGGAGGAGGAGGGAAAAGAGGAAGATGAGGAGGAAGGAAGGGAGGGAGGGAGGGAGGGAGGGAGGGAGGGAGGGAGGGAGGAAGGAAGGAAGGAAGGAAGGAAGGAAGGAAGGAAGGAAGGAAGGAAGGAAGGAAGGCAGGCAGGCAGGCAGGCAGGCAGGCAGGCAGGCAATCGGGCCTGCAAACAGCGTTCTCACTAAGTGGGTAGAGGACCTTGCCCTAGGGACCACAGCATAGGGCGTTGTGACATTGAGAACTCCTTCCAGCCCCTGGGACTAGGTTCCCACTGCCCAGCCAGGGGAACAGGAAGGCCTGGCTACTATGTGTCTGTTGGTCAAGAGTGCAACTGAAAAAAGCAGGTGTTATTTTAGGGTCCATCTCTGCCAGAGCCAGAGTTCAGAGGGGAGGCCGCTGCTGACTCCAGAGCTATGGACTACATTTCCCAGAGTCCTTCAGAGCCCGAGGACCAGCCATTGGCAGATTTAAATAGCCCAGGCCCGAGGCAGCCAGGCCTCAGCTGTGGACTCCTCCGCCTCTCGGGTGGCTCTATTGGCTCTGGCCCCGCAAGGGTGGGCTCCATTGGCTGCCCAGCTGGCACCGACGTCCCCTCGGAGCCGGGTGGCAGCCGGAGGTAAATAGCCATGTGCAATCCTCCTCTCTATATTTAACAGCTGCTACAGAGAAGGTGGCGGCTTTTGTCTTCTGGAAGAAGGGCCTTGGAACTGGGCTGGGACTGGCCTTCTCAGAGTGAGTGAGGTCACCATGCCGGCTTCCCAGAGCCGGGCCCGTGCCAGGGACCGCAACAATGTCCTCAACAGGGCCGAGTTCCTGTCCCTGAACCAGCCCCCCAAGGGGACCCAAGAGCCCAGAAGCTCAGGTAGGAAGGCCTCGGGGCCCTCGACACAACCCCCACCCTCCGCCGGCGACGGGGCCCGGGAGCGTCGCCAGTCGCAGCAGCTGCCCGAGGAGGACTGCATGCAGCTGAACCCCTCATTCAAGGGCATCGCCTTCAACTCCCTCCTGGCCATTGACATCTGCATGTCCAAACGACTGGGGGTGTGTGCCGGCCGGGCTGCATCCTGGGCCAGTGCCCGTTCCATGGTCAAGCTCATTGGCATCACAGGCCACGGCATCCCTTGGATCGGGGGCACCATCCTCTGCCTGGTGAGAAGCAGTACCCTGGCTGGCCAGGAGGTGCTCATGAACCTGCTGCTAGGTGAGTGTGCGTGCTGGCCACCTGTCACCCGGCCTGGCCAGGCCCTTTGGGAGGACCCAGCCCCACCCCTTCCAGGATCAGCAGGTTCCCTGAGAAACCAAGGAACTCATCTAATGAGGTTACAAAGGAAGGGTGCCCCAGAAACAGACAAGCCTCTAGTGTCGGGAGGCAAGGGCCCCCAAATTGGGGGGCTTGAGCATGCAGAGGCCAGCAGGCACCCCTGGGAGCCAGTTCTCTGCACCGGGCTGCTGCTCAGGCAGAGTACAGAGGCTGAGGCTCTGGGGTGAACTTGAGAGCTCTGCTGAGTGACCTAGAGTGATGCCGCTGTCGGGTCATTGTTCCTGACCACTTACAGACATTGTCCTCTTCTCCATGCTCAGTCCAGAGACCCTACAAACCGCCCAGGATTTTTCTACAGAGTCTGAAGGTTCAAGGGACCCACCTAAGGTCCCCTCCTCACCCACTCTGATCCTCTTGGAGTACTAGCTTGCTCCTGCCCAAGGATGTCTCTGGAGAAAGGAGTCTGGTCATCAGTTTCCCTTGCCACATTCTTTGCCACTAGCCCTCCAGGTTAGCACTGCCATGTGCCAGTTGCCATGGGGTGCCCATGTGGAAAGCAAGCCACCCCTTCTCCATGGAGATGATACCCAGCCCCCACCCAGCTCATCCTCCCGGTCCCCAGGGTGCTCTGGGAGCCTTTGCTTCTACCCTCTGAGCCAGGCCCCTGCCTGGTTAAGACAGGCGAACGAAGCTGGCTTCTCTAATTCTAGAAGGAGTTTCAGCGCAAATCCAGGTGCCCCAGAAACAGACAAGCCTCTAGTGTGGTGAAGCAAGAGCCCCTGCAAATTGGGGGGCTTTGAGCGTGCAGAGACCAGCAGGCACCCCTGGGGTCACAGCCCCTCCATGGAGTGTGGTCTCTAGCGTTTTAGCCGATGGGAGAAAACTGACGGATAGCGAGGTGGTCGGCTGGGGCTGCGGCTCAGCTGGTAGAGTACTTGTCGAGCATGCACAAGGCTGTGGGCCCCATGCTCAGTGCCACATCAAACCTGCCATGGTAGCATGTGCCCACATCCTAGCCCTCGGGAGGAAGAGGCGAGAAGATCACCAGTTCAAAGCCATTCTCGGCTACACAGTTTGAGGCTAACCTGAGCTACGTGAGACTTTGTCTCAAAATACCAACAAGGTGGGCATGGTAGCATATCCTTTTAATCTCAAAACTTGGAAGGCAGAGGCCAGCAAATCTCTATGAGTTCAGCCTGGTCTACAAAGTAAGTTCCAGGCTTCAAGGCTCTATAGTGAGACCCTGTCTCAAAAAACCAAAACCAACAAAATAGCCAGGTGGGCCTTGGCCCCACAGTCCAGATCACCTTCCAGGACGGACCCTGGTCACCTCCTCCATGCAGGGACAGCCACCTTCCACTGAGCGGCAGACCTGTCATTTAGCTTCCGATGCCCTGGGGTACTGTCAGCCCTGGAGCCCAGGCCTCGGTCAGGGTGGACTCTATTTGCCTCCCTTCCCCTTAGGTACTGTGAAAACTTAAGTCAGTTCTCACCTTTAGGTCTCAGTTTCTTGATCCATGCAATGGGGCAACCGGTCTGTGGTGGAGATTTGAAGGGAGCTGGCAAAGAACCATGGCTGATATCACTATTGCAAGAACTGCGGGGCCTGGAGACATCTTGTCCAGCTCAGCCCTCACTCAGAGCACAGGACACATGACCAGTGCCCAAGGAAATCTCTGGGCCCAGGGTGAGGTCTCATGCCTACAGCCAGGACCCTGAGGGGCAGATTGGAAGCAGTGGAAAATGGGTGCTCAGAACGCCATACATGTGGACAGTCCCCTGCCTCCAGCCCTGTCCGCTCAATGAGATGCCAGAGAACCTAAGCCAGAACAATTTCAGCAGCTAAAGAAAGCTTAGAATCAACCATTGTGAACCCTAGGCCCTCTGTGGCCACAGCAAGTAACTTCACCTCTTGGAGCCTCAGTGTCCTCATCTGTCAAATGGGTTGTTAGGACATTTGAAGGAAGTATGCTAACATGGAGGGCTTGGCATGTGCTAAGGGTAGGGGGCACTTAGGTGGCCATGCTGTCATCATGGTAGCATCGTCAGCTTCACTAGGTCAACCTCTGACAAGGTCCCTTCTGTGGTCCAGATGCTAGTGCAGTGACCCCATCCTTCCTTTCTCCCGCTCCTCAGCACCAGGCTAGATGGCCCTGCAGGGAGCCAGGTGACAGAGCCAGGTGGAAAGTGGCTTGTCACCATGATCCAAATCCTTTATGTATTCATTTATTTTTAGTTTTTCAAGACAAGGTTCTCTATGCAGCCTTTACTGTCCTGGAACTCACTCTGTAGACCAGGCTGGCCTTAAACTCACAGAGATCCACCTGCCTCTGCCTCCGGAGTGCTGGGATTAAAGGCGTGTACACCAAGACCCTGCTGACATTTAAAATTTTTTATTACATTTATTTATTCAATTTGTGTGTTCGGGATCATTTTAGTATGTTGTCAGTGTACATCGTCATCATTGTGAATTTGTCACTGTTGTCTACCTGCGGTTCATTTCTATCTGCCCCAGCTGAACACACACACACACACCCGTTACACACAGCTCCTCACCACCCCACGCCAGCCGCTGGTGGCAACCATCTCTTCTCTGTCTATGAATCCAACCGCTCTAGAGGCAGAGGCTTCCTGTGCATGGATTTACATGGCATTTGTCTTTCTGGGACCCACTTATTTCACTTAACGTGAAGTCCTCGGGGTTTGTCCTGAGTATGTAACAGCACTGTCTTTCTTTTAAAAACTTTAAAAACAAAAACACTTATTTGGGGGGTGAATGCATGTGTGGGGGTCAGAGGATAGCCTGTGGTAGCCTGTTTACTCTGTCCCATAGGTCCTGGGGACTGAGCTCCGGTCATCAGGCTTGGTGCCTTTACCCACTAAGCAATCTCCCCAGCCTGACTTTTCCCCTTTTCCTGGCTGGATGATATTACATGGTGCAAATGGCCCCCATTGTGTTTGTCCTTTACCCAGGGATAAGAGTCTCCACTTTCTGGCCCTTGTGGATATTGTTGCTGGGGTGGGGTGGGGTGGGGGGCTGTGGGGGGGGTGTGCATCTCAAGCCACCACTCCTGGCCCTCTTGGCTGCTCAGAAGTAGATTGTTGGTCATTTAGTAACTATGTTTAATGTTGGAAGAACTTCATATGTTTTTCACCGTGACTGTACATGTCACCTTCTCCTGGCTGTGCACAAGCATTCTAGTCTCTCCACACCCTCACCAACACCGACTGCTATTACTAATTATTGTTATTTTATTTTTTTATTATTTTACTTTGATTTGTTTTTTAGGCTAGCATACAAATGAGTTTTACCACGACCAACACTTAGTTGTTATTATTAGTTAGGTTGTTTCTGTTCGTTGTATTCATCTGAAACTTTTGAGACAGGATCTTATGTAGCCCAGGATGGCCTCAAACTCACTATGTAGCTGAAGCTGGCCTTGAGCTCTTGAGTGTTCTGATCCCAAGTGGTAGGATTACAGTTATGTGCCTCCATGACCCACTCTTGTTTGTTTGTTTGTTTGTTTGTTTGTTTGTTTGTTTGTTTGTTTTTTGCAAGAGCATCACTCAGGACAGCCCAGGCTGACCTCAAGCTGGTCCTCCTGCTCTCCTCCCAAATGCTGGGATTATAGGCATGAGTTCAGCTCAGGTAACTAGGGGTGAGTGGGCATGTTTTGTAGGTGTGCATGTATGGCCATGTGCTTGTGTGTCGAGGTCAGAGGTTTCTCTGGTATCTTCCCCAACTGCCCTGTATCTTATTGTTTTGAATAAGGGCCATTATTTGGCTAGTCTGGCAGGGCAGTGAGCTCCCAGGATCCACCTGTCTCCATCTTCTGTTGCCCGGTTACAGAGGCACATTGCTACACCTGGCTTTTATGGGTGTGCTGGGGCTGAACTCAGATTCTGAGGCTGTACTGAGCCATTCCTGAAGCCTCTGGAGGGAACTTTTAAAAGACAAAAATAAATAGGATTAAGCAGAAATTTGAGAGAACATCCTCGGCTGCAGGATGGTCTGAGATTGAGCAGGTGTTTGCTGGGCAGATGTCCTGGGGAAGCTTTGGGCCAAAGGCTAGGGTGGCTTTGATGCCAACTTCTGGCCCACAGAAGACAGGTCACAAAGAAAGTGGGCCTGTCCCTTAGTCCCTCCCCAAGGGTAACCTGTTTGTGTTTTGGGCGCCATGCCTCTGGCCCTCTCCCTGCACATACCAACAGACAGCGTTTGTCGCGCTGTGTTTGACTGGCATGGCCCCTGTGTTCACAGACTTGTCCCACTGGATGGCCTCTATTTGCAATCCTGTCTCATCCCCCATGGCACTTTTTGCCAAGAACAAGGACAAAGCCTCTTCAGCCTCGAGCCTCCCACTCAGCCCTCAGCCAGCTCTTCAGAAGATACGTCCGTCACCTCTCCTAGCCCCTGCCCACCAGCTCTTGCTCTTGGGGACAACTTACCTCTCATGAGACTATGTGCCTTACCCCTGACTGAAGCACATTTAGGCTGATCTCAAATCTTCAGTTAGATACACTTCTGCCTCCAAAGGTGGACACTTTCGTATTATTTTAGGGATACTATGTGATAGCCGGCCTCCTGGGGGTCTTTGGCCACCCCAAGTCCCAGTGAGGGTTCTGACAGGCGATAGAAAGGAATTCACCACACAGGGCAGAGCGGGTCTGCCAGCATATTCACACAATCAGTAGGTTCGTTCTGGGACCCACTCCCAGTAGCACAAGCCACTCAGCTGAGGTGGTACCCTGGTGACAGTCTTCATGGAGCCGCCTTCGGGTATGGATTCCTCAGCTGAGAAAGCACAGGCCCTATTATGGTCACTGTGAAAGCCACTTGGGTCAGGAGAGTAGGGGACAGACCAGGACCCACCCTATAGCAGCCTGGCGTGGCATAGGGGTGGAAGGGACTCGCAGGAAAAAGGAGAGATAGTAACCGT